GTATGTGCCCCATACCATAGATACCTATTCAGGTATTCAATAGGCAACTGGTTTGAGTTCTGAAAAGACTGATTCTATAATTATACATTTATTAGAAGTTATGGCCATCATTGGGAAACCTGTACAAATTAAGACTAACAGAGCTTCAACATATGCCTCTAGCAAAATAAAACAGCATTTTTTATATTACAACATGAAGCATATTGGAGGCATACCATGCAATCCTACAGGACAAGCAGTTAAAGAAAGACCTAATAGCACTTTAAAAGATATGCCTAATAAACAGAAAGGGGTAATGAAGACCCCCTGAGATAGATTGCATAATGCTTTATTAATATTAAATTTCTTTAATGATAATGAGAACAGAACAACAGCTGGGGAGAGACATTGGATAATAGGAAAAAAATGCTGGATTAAATCAGCCTGTATTCTTCAATGATGTTTGACCTCAGAATGGAAACCAGGATATGTGTTATGTTGGGGAAGAGGTTTTGCTTTTTGTTTTCACAGAAGAAGAAAAATTATGGACACCATCAAAACTGATAAAGATTTGACCAGATTCAATCAGGAGAGACCTCTTGATTAGGACAGGTGATAGCTCACCAACTGCATGGCCATTACATCCTAATTAAGTTATAAGATTAACAGATATCTTTCATTTGATCAGCTATAGCCTGCCAAAAAAGGGAAACCTCCCAAAGTGAAGTTGGGGCAGGGTCTTGTTTTTGTATTTCCAGGAGAATTAAAAGCATCTAACTAATGAATCTGAAGACCACTGAACAAGTGAGATCTCTGAAGAAAAAGGATAAATCATCCAGAGAAAATGTCCCAAGAAAAAGAGACAACTGGCTTAATGATATAATATATTTCCAATAGGAAAAAAATTTCATAAACCTTCCCAAATGTTAGTTTCTACTGGTCTCTACAGATATATAAAGCAAATGATCTTTTTGTAGGCCCAACTCAATTAAAATTTAAAGCTGGCTTTGGATTTGGAACTCTCTACTTCCCTAAACCCAAGCATGCATGTTAGAGGAAAATTCAAGGTCTCTGTCTCATGTCAGAAGAGCCACATGGTATTGGACAAAAAACCAAAATTAAGGCACTATCCTATTGCCACTTATCTCATAATACTTTGGTTTTATTTTGACACTTCAAAACTTTTCTTACAGTACTAATATTATTTCAAAATTTATAATATATATACACATATGCATGTATACATACATACACACATATTTTAAACTTTCTATCATGACATTAATGGTCATATACAGTACTAACTAATTCTGGAAATAGGCTTCATCTGCCTTCCTGTATGTAATTTTAGGCTTGAGTATGAGGCAGGTAACTATGAATAAGTTGGTGTATCCTGGCTGTATTTAATAGATTGTGGTCCTTTAAATCCTTCATGATCTGCTGCATATGACATTTAAAATGTTTAGGTTTTCTACAAAGAACCATGATCATTCCTAAGAGCAACCTTTGAAGTCTCCAAAAGGATGATGTGGTCCCACAAAAATGGTTCCACCTGGATTGTGATAATGCCACTAAGCTGACAAATAAGATCAGCTTTGGACTACAAACTGCTCAGGACAATTTGAAGGCACTTAGCTAAAATTATCTGACATCACAGACTACCCAGAACTTCACATAAGCCTTGCATTTTCCCATCACACTGAGACTAGACAACAGCTATCTCTCCCAGGATTTGATCTTTATCTCAAAATTTTTAGGGTCTCCCTAAAGATGCCATTGCCCCCAAAGCAGAAAGCTAAATTTAAGAACATAACAAGCACATTTACAAGAAGTTGGGTAGGTAGTTTTTGGTTATTCAATGGATGTTTGTCATCTTTGGGGTGGGGAGCAGCGGAATTGGTTATAAGTTGTTATTGGTCAAGGTCAGGGAGGAAACTAAAGGTAAATTAGATCCATGGATCTCCATCTGAAAAGAAAAAGGGGAATATAGAAATGATAGGATAAAGGGTAGATTATTGAATCTACTTTCAAACCAAAAATGCAAATACTAGTCTCAAATATTTTACACTGGTATGGATTTTGTATAGTGATACAAATTTAAGGTTATTTAAATATATGTGTGTGTGTTTACTCTTGTTTAAGATATTTGTATATTAATAAAATTTAAGGTTATTTTTGTTAAACTATATGCTTCTATTTCTTGTTTAAGGTATTATACCTATGCAGCTCATTTAAAAATATAATGTAAAGTTCTAGTCCTAGGAAAATAGGTTAGTAGCTAGTCATCTATAACAATCAAACTTATAGTCATGTTAGGTATGTTTTCAAGGTCAAACAGAGACATATTTTAGTCTTCAAACACTCCAGAGACCTACAGAATATGGAATGTAGTAGCTTTGATATAAAGTAAATCAGGTACAAAACTTTGGACTCACCAAAATAAGATATATAATGGAGTGTTTTCTTTGAATTTGCCAAATACTAATGGACTGAACATTATGAATGTATTTCTTACTTAATTGTTGTTGTTGTATATAGTTTTACTATGTCAGATCTTAAGCCCTTCCTTTTTATTTAGACAAAAAGGGGCAAATTATTCAGGAGAACTGTTTGTACTGCCGCCCCACTATGCCAATAAAGTCACTTTAAACCAAGGACAGAGTTAACGACTGGCTGAACAGGACTAGCCATAGAGTTGTTGGAAGACTGAGGAAGTCAAATAGAGAGGGACAGGAAGTGGAAAGAAAGGGCTTGGAGAAGATTTCCAGGGCTTTATAATGGGAAAGACATGGAAAGCAGGGTCACCCAATCACCCCTCCACTGTTCCTTAGATTTATTAGGCTTTTATCTCAAAAGTTTTTATTAACACTACAACAATTTAGGTAAATACCAGAGATGATAGCAGGGAATTTAAGTGTAATGTAAAGCCTGAGCCATTGTTAAAGCTTTTTAGATGGCACAATGTACATGGAACAAAGCTTGTGAAATATCTAAGTCAAAACATCACGATGAGGACTACAGAAAGTTCAGTGGTTAAGAGCACCGGCTGTTCCTCAAGGGTGCCCAGGTTTGGTTTTCAGCACCCACATGGTGGCTCATAACCATTTATAACCCTGTTTACAAAATATCCTCTTATGGCCTTCATAAGCACCAGATATACAAGTGATGCACATGTAGGCAAACACTCATAAAATAAAAACATAAAGAAATCTTTTAAAAAATCACAATATCACAGTAATACAACATGGGCAACTAAGAAAGTGATTTAAGAAATGCGTCATCCTCAGACTTTGAAGATTACCCATGGAGGGCCTCAACCTCCTTGGGGAGCAGAGGGAGAATGGGGTAGGGAGTTGCAGGGGCTGCGGGGAGAGAATGGGAGGGTTAGAGAGCTGGGATTGACATTCAAGTAAGCTTGTTTCTAATTTAAATAAAACAAAAAAATGGAAAAAATAAAGACATGGGTCATCCTTAAAAGGCAGGAGTTTAGTGATTTATTTCAATTTTTAAAAAAAATTTCTATACTATTGACACATACCTCTATATTTTTTACTGTTTATTGTGTGAAAGTTAAGATCTTACTGATAATTTTTGCTAATCATGGCATTTGTTTTTCTGGAATAGGGTGATGAGGAAAACTTATAATGAACTTTGGTGCTGTATTACTACAAAATAAATCCCACACAATTACCTTTCATTCAAGCATTTAAAGATTTTTTCATACCGCCTCAAAGTTTTAATAATAAAAGGAAATTCTAGTAGCAATCAAACTTCTATTTTTCTGGAAGTTGCCATCTGAACTGAGTGGAATGTTCTGATAGGAAAATGGATCAATCAGTGTTTAAGAGGTACAAAACAAAACTCAGTGCTGTTTTCACAAGGCCTGTTTCTCCAGGAATCCTGGCAAGATCCTCAGCTACTGCATTTATCCAGGTATTCACAATGTATCCACAGTTCAAAGCAACAGAAAAGAGGCTAAGAGAGACTGTGTATTGAAGTAGAGAAGATGATAGGTCAGGAATGATCATGTGTGAGAAAATCAGAGAGAAGGAACCAGTCAGCAGGTGACAAACATAGGAAGCTGGAACAAATACAGACAACTTGGTGTGACATCATATGCATTGTGAAGACAGCACCAGAAACTTGGGTTTGGCACAACAGCAGAGTGCTATACATGTGGGTGATGACTGTTAATTGTAATACAGTAATACTGGGATTTCAAGAGTCATAAGTGACATGTTCATTTTTTAAAATATTTCACAGAGTATAAAAAGAATTCTCCAAATGTATTGGCAGATAGAGATTTCAATCTCAGGAACCTATATGATGTGAGGTAAGAAGGAAAATGACGTATAGTAATGCTGTGCTGAGAATGGCAATTTTATAAAAAGTGGTATCTCGTGTGGCGAAATACTAATTATCAAATCAATGGTAAGTCTATGAAAATTCATTATACTGTTCTACTTTTATATACATTTGGAAATGCTTACAGTGTTTTCTGTAACTTAAAAAAATTGCATTGTATGTGTATGCCTGTGTGCCAAAGCACATGTGTGAAAAGTAAGAAGACAATTTTGTGAAATTGGTTCTCCCTCCACATTTTCATGGGTCTAGGGACTGACTGAACTCAGGTCATCAGGCTTCACAAAGTACCTTTATGGGGGAGGCCACTTTGCTGGGCCTAGAATAAAAACTTTTTAATATGTCTGTGGTAGGAGATGTAGCAAGATGTTAGAAGTAGGGGTCTCTTCCCAGCTGAACTGAGCCTTCCAGAAGAATTTAAGCATTGCAGGGAGGAATTCAAAGAAACAGATGTCATAACACTCTAAAATTAGGCACAAAATAAGTAAAAACAATGTAGTTTGAGCAGGATTCGTGCCATAGTTGACAAAATTGTTTTCTAGAAAGCAGGAGAAATCAGCTGGCATTACAATTAGGCTAAGAGTAATGGAGTAATGCACAACAATGACCAGAAGCATGCCAACTCAATGGAGTCCAAAGAAAAACAGTGTGAGACTTACTTCATCTCCAAAACTTCCTCTAGGTGCTTCCTTCTCTCTGCCCGGAGATTGGTGAGATGTGTCTCCTTCTCTGCCAGGGACTGCTGAGTAGAGGACAACTTAGCTTTCATGGACTCCAGTTCCTGCTTCACCTTCTCCATGGCCATCAACAGTTCTTCCACCTATGACACATACAGAAAAGAAATAAGTAGAATACCTTGGTCAAATCCAGAGAGTGCAGCTGGGCCATGGGCAACTCCTGGGCTGATAAAATGGAAGACACACATGATCATTTTGAAATTTCTGAACTCTTTCTGATCATTCATATATGTATCAAGAATAAACGGGGTGGAGACTTATCTCTGGGGTAGAGAGCTTGTCCAAGACTGTTGGTTCAGTCCCCAGCAAACAGCAAAAACCACAACAACACCCACCCACCCCACATAAATGAACGAATAAATAAGTACCCATACAAGGACAGGGGAGAGGGATACTGAGAAAGAGAATAGACCCAGTAAGGTGGTTCAACTGGTAAACCACTTGTTGCATAACTCTAATGATGCCCAGATGACCCAAGTTCAATTCCTTGCATCCACGTAAAGGACAAAGGACAGAGCTAACGCCACAAAGTTGTCTTCTGACCTTCACAGGTGGCATGTGTGCACGCTCTCTGTCACACATACACTACCCACACACACAAATAAAAAATAAAGCACAAAATAATAATAATTACTTATGGAAGGAACATATGAAATAAAGGACTAACAGTAGTTTTGTATATCTGAATTAAATTCTGTTGTTTATACCATTAAAGAGTTCTCTTTTTTAAACCCAAAAATATATGATCAGATAAAAGAGGCACAATGCTTTAAAAAGACCTGGGAAAGGAGAAGCCTTGACAGAAACAGATGTGAAATAAATAAAAACATGTGCAAGGCAAAAGAAATACAGAATGCTTAAATACAGAGAAAAGAAACACAGAGAGGAAGGTATGTACTTCATAAGCAATTTTCACTCATTCTGGTTACTCAAATTTGAATTACTTAAATAAAACCTATGCTGAAGAAAGCATGCTATTACTAAACCATGATCTCACAGGTGAGAATAGAGCACCAATCATTGAAGTTTATGATATACTACCACTCACCATGCTGATAACTAATCTTTTCAAAAGTAAAGGAGGGTAGATAGAAGCAGGGATTCTGTCATTCGCTCACTCCTACACAAACCAATTTTTGTGCTGCAACTGAGAGCTGTTTGGAGACAGGCTATGGTAAACATACCAGAGCTGTTCACAAGCTCCTTCAAGTGAGTACCTGGTACCTAACCAGTTGGCTGCTCAACAGAAAGGCAAACACATTTGCATATGGATACCTGCATTAATTTTTTATCTTCCCAAGACCTCAAGCTGATCCTTGCCCCAATGGTTGGACTTCCTTAGGTACATATTCACATCTGCAAATTTTGTGTGATATATATTACCCCCAGCTTTCTGGGAATCATTGAGAAGAGTTACTTCCATTCTATCCATTTCGTTAATGTAAACTTTTCTAAAATTGAGTAAATATGTCATGCAGAGATTCTTATGTTGACCACAAAACCAATGGTCAATGAATATGCACCATGTACAGGTGCTAACATATGAAGAGCAAGATGTATTTGTTCCATTGGTGCTTTGCCTAAACAGATCTCAAAAGTCTCCCAGGTATCCTGTATTGCACAATTCCTTGCAACCAAGCATATCAATTTCTTATATATCCTAGAAAGTTTACAAACATAGAAGCAAAAGAATGTATAAACAGTCAAATTCTTCTCTCCCTACACAAAAGGAAGTTACATATATCCCTTTGCAGTAAACAATTTTTGGTAAGTCTTGTACAGAAGTGCAAAGTACAGGAAGATATACAATAAATATAGAGCTTGAAAAATATGCTCCAAGTCATCTTGTTAGCATGGAGATTAACAAACAGAGCACTGTCAGCACCCCCAGAAACTGCCTCTATGTCTCTTTCCAGATAAAAAGCATTCCACTGTTCTGTTTTTCCAAACTTGATAATTCTGCCTATTGTAACTTTGAAATAGAACCATATGGCATATAATTAACTGGCTTTTTCTAAAGTCCATCCATGCTGGTGGTATGATTATAGTGCCATAATTTTCCTAACTGAATATTCTACTTCTGGGAAAACATAAAGACATATTTTATGATGCTTTGACATGGACTATTTAATTGAGTGGACCTTAATAAACATATTTTATATGCTTTTGTTCAGTTTTGTTTTTTTGAGAGAGGGGTTCTCTGTGTAGCCAGCCCAAACTTGGGAGATCTGCCTGCCTCTGCCTCTCAAATGCTGGGATTAAAGGCATGTGCCGCCACCAATCAACAATAAAGGTGGTTTGGAGGTGGGGGGGGGGTTGAAACAGGGTTTCTCTGTGTAGCTTTGATGCCTGTCTTGGAACTTATTCTGAAGGCCAGGCTGGCCTTGAACTCACAAAGATATGCCTGTCTCTGCTTCCCGAGTGCTGTATTAAAGACGTGCGCCAGCTATGTTTTTATTTCTTATATTTGGAGTACTTTGTGCCCTGCATAAGGGTCTGTCTGTCTATATCAAAGTCAAAAGGTTATTCTACCTTTGTAAACTCTTGATTATTCATGCTTAGATTTATAAAACACATACACTGATTTCTGCATACACTGCAGTGGTCAAAATTAACTTTATGGCTACGTGTATCTAATTTGCTTAATGCCATTAACAACACAAAAAAAATTAAGGTCATGGTTTAAAAAAATTCCCATCTATGCCGTGCGGTGGTGGCGCACACCTTTAATCCCAGCACTCGGGAGGCAGGGACAGGCAGATCTCTGTGAGTTTGAGGCCGGGCTGGACCGACAGCCTCCAAAACAATACAGAGAAACCCTGTCTCGTAAAAACCAAAAAAATAAAAAATAAAATTAAAAAAATTCCCATCTACTTTAGACATGAAATTATATAAAGATTAATTACATGAAGTATGTAAAGATAATAGTCCTTCACTATATACAATTACCTTCAAATTTCAGAAATGAGAAATACGAAATATTTTATTTCATACAAAGACTGGATCCTATGCATATTTTCCAGAATAACAGCAAAACAGACATCTATCCCTTATTCATGGTTCTGCTTTTTGTAGTTTCTATTAGCTGTAGTCTGAAAATATCAAATTTAAACTTCCAGAAATAAACAATTTATAACCTTTTAATTATGTATCAGTCTAAGCAGTGTGATGAAATCTCACATCCCTTCTTCCCTCCGGCTGGCTGTGAATGATTATTTGTCAATTATTTGTGTCTTCTTGCCTTCAGGTCACTCAGCAGCAGCCTCAGGGATCAAACCCACTGACTTGCACTTACAGTGCTTGTGCTCAAGTAATGTTTATTTTTACTTAATAATAGCCCTAAAGTGCCAAGTGATGTTGACAAAGCAAAGGTGTAAAGTGTTCTCTTTCAATGGAAAACATAGTAACATATGCTGAGAAAGAGGCCATATCTACATAACTTCTAATACAGTATGTTGTTCTAAGGATTTTGCTATTATTCTCCTTCTCTCATTGTGCCCAATTCATAAATTAAACTTTCTATATGTATTCAATAGGACGTGCAGTTCAGGCATCCATTAGAGACAAATTTAGAATGTACCCACCACATGTATGACAAGATTATCATGCCTATCAATGAACAGGTTAAATGTAGTTATTTCATTGTACCCCTTCACCCTGGTTCTTTTCTGGATGCCTTCTTTTTCTGAGACAGTTGGATAGTGGTCTGAAAAATCACCATGTAACTAAGGCTGGGCTTGAACTCCTAATCTTCCTTGTTACACACACACTTACACACACACACACACACACACACACACACACACACACACACACACACACACACACCCAGAAGTCAACTAACGGGGACTTGGTTCTCTCATTCTACCATATAGGCTTCAGGGGCTAAATTTAGTTTGTTAGGCTTAACAGCAATCTTTTACCTGCTATGTCATCATGCCAGCCTACCTACATTATTTTTAAACTACATGCATGTATTTCAAAGTATGTCATTGCCTATTTTTTTTGTTTTGTTTTGTTTTTACGAGACAGGGTTTCTCTGTATTGTTTTGGAGGCTGTCGGTCCAGCCCGGCCTCGAACTCACAGAGATCCGCCTGCCTCTACCTCCCGAGTACTGGGATTAAAGGCGTGCGCTACCACCGCCTGGCAGTCCGTTATAAATCTAAATAATTGGAATCTTCTGACTTTGTTTCAGCCATTGCTTTTCTTCCAAAAGGAAACCTTGAGTCTATATCCTAGAATGGAGAACAAAACAGTTAATGCATTACAGTACATGAGCTGGAAGCCATGTCAGCCAAGAAGAATGTCAACTGTAGTTTACTACAAGGAATAGGCTCCATGGAGCATGGGGGTAGGGAATGGGGAGGCGGGAAATGACAACATCTGATTCCAGGTCTGGGATGAGAAATGTACAAATGATCTTTGGTGCTAGAAAACAAGGAAAATAAGGAATGCTGCAAAGTAACACCCAACACCAAAAACCAAGAAAAGCTCAGGAACAGAGAGGAGAGAGATAGAGGAGACTAAGATTACAGAGAAAAGAGAATGTAACTGGAAAACCAAACATAGAGACTGAGACTCCTCAAAACTGGACTTTATCTAAAGAATGCAAGGTTGGCTTAACATATAACTATCAAACAATATAACAAAATAGATGTGCATATCTTACTTGTCCCACTCTAAAGTCCCTGAGGTCAGGAACTACCTAATATGCCCAGCACAATGCTTTTCAATTGGGTGCTCAATCAATATCTACCAACTGGACAAACAAGTAAATCCTCAAATCATTAAAGAGATTGATATGCCTACTTTTTGACTACATGGTCCTCACGCTTTAGCTGTCAATTAGGTATGAAAGAGCTGGGTTTGAAGTCCAGATAGAGTGGTCCTATTAATAAAAGGAGAGGGAGAGGGAGAGAGGGAGAGAGGGAGAGAGGGAGAGAGGGAGAGAGGGAGAGAGGGAGAGAGGGAGAGAGGGAGAGAGGGAGAGAGGGGGAGAGGGAGAGAGGGGGAGAGGGGGAGAGGGGGAGAGGGGGAGAGGGGGAGAGAGAGAGAGAGAGAGAGAGAGAGAGAGAGAGAGAG